GTAATGGAAATAAGCGATTGTAAAACAAAGTTTATTCATTAACGAAGTCTAATTTCTTTCAAAACAAATGGAAATTTCGGCATGTAGAAACTTATTAATATTAAAGTAAACGGCCTGATTGAACGTTGCCAATATAGACACGTCTGATACGATTACATATTGATTGTAATTATTGAAAAGAAGAGTCTTCTAATTTTCTCAGTACATCTAACACTAAACTCTGTAGTATGTATAAGTTTAGAATGTTTGGTGTCATTAATGATAGTCGTCTGAAATATTTAAATTTTAATTGGTGAAAAGAAAACATCATGGTGTCGATGTTTCGCATCATGAATTCATTATTCAGTAAATTATCATTTAAACAACGAACATGAGCTACAACAAATACGAGTATTGTTGCTCTTGGAAATGATTTTTGGATAACCTGAAATAATTCTAATGTATAGAAACTGTATTATCATATAAAATAATTTGTTTTCCTTTGTTTTGTTTACTGTATAACAAAATATCATTGTTGTCATTTGATCGATAATTAACTAGATCATTTGAAACATAACAGTATCTATTAAACATAAAGGGTAATGAAAATACACATGAAATACTTTCAATTTTTTTTTTTTGTTAGTTTTGATAATAACTTTTTTTCTAAACGTTCCCCATCAATAAATTGATCAATATATAAATTCAATGATACGTGTTCTAGATTAGAGCAACAGTGGAATAATAACAATTCTAAATAATCATAATTAGCAGTAAAAACAGCGTATAATACAAAATGTTTTAATTTTGATAATGTCGAAGGAATATTTTTATTGTAATTAAATTGAACGCCATTTTGTTGTTGTTGCTGCTGTCATCCTCAATACGGACTATCAATATTCCGTTCTGTTCAGGAAGGTTGATAATACTGTATTCATTTTGTTTCTCTTCCTAATTATTTTATTTAAAATTTGTTACGTTTCGTTGTAGTTTTACAACTTCGTCAGACATAAATATTTTTAACACTAATCGCTAACAGACTTTTTAATTGCATAGAACAAACCAAAACCGTTGACATTTTGAACTTTTCCGACTATTTTGCTCTATTTAGACCATTTTGATAATTAATTCTTTGTCTCTCTTATAGATATGATAGTGATAAGAAAACAAGACGGCCATAGTAACGACTAGACAGGATAAACCTTTTTCCGTATCACTATCACCGTCTTGTTCCCTAAGTCTTAGTTCTTTTATATTTCTCAAATGTTTCTCGACTTGATTGGATCTTTCTTTTAATTTCTTGTTCTGCCTTGTAAAGAATAGGGTTCCAATCACTGCTAATATCATCGTGTTCATTGACTGATTTATTCACTTTCGAATAAATTGCTTCTTTTAGTCTACGTTTACGCCAGTTTTTCTCTTGTTCAACGATAAAGGCATTGTCTGTATCAAATAGGCATTGATATCTATTTTGTTGTTGATGTTGCACCATTTCCGATTTTTCCTCATCGTTGTTTATCAAGCGAAAATGCTGTTTCATTCTATTATCAATTCCAACTTTTGTTTCACCGTTATATATTTGGGGAGGATCACAACTACATTGTATTTGATAAATAACTGACTTCGATGGTTCTTTCAAAGTACGATTAAAGTGTGATTGAATTTTGTTAGGGTACGAAAAATACAATTTAATTTTCAGTTTTTCCAATTTTCTTTTCAGCACTTCCATTCCTGGAACATACGGTAGACTGACACTATATTTTGTTTCTTCATCTTTTTTGTTGCTAGTTCGATGCCTATTGTTTGATTCACATGATTGTTTAATTAGTTTATCAATTTCTTTCAACGGATAGTTAGAATTCAGTAGCATTTGTTTCAGCTTTTGTAAGTCTTCCTTCTGTTCTCCTGCTTCTTTCGTTGTTTTTAGGATTCGAGTTGCCATATTCTTCACAATGTTGTTTTTGATCGATTTTGAATGACTTGACTTATAGTTTAGTAGTCTGTCTGCAGCTGTTGTCTTACGAAACCATCTAACTTTAATTTTCATTTGATCACCTTCGTTACGTCGGGATAACGTTGTATCTAAAAACGAGATTTTGTCATTTTGTTCAAATTCATAAGTGAAACGAATACTTCCACGAATTTTATTTAATTTTTCCACATAATTGTTTAGCTGTTGTTCATTTTTCTCTGTTAATATCAGGATATCATCGACGTACCGCCAAATCTTGTTAGGAATGTTTACTTCTTTTAAATGTTCTTTCAAATAGTTATCCATGTATAGATCAGCTAATAACGGTGACAATGAATTACCCATCGGAAGTCCCTTCTTTTGACGATAAAATTTTCCGTTGAACTGGAAATAGCTATTATTCAAAGAAACGAGAAGTAGTCTTTTTATATCTGTTTTAGTTAAATCAGAATTGATCAATTTGTTCGATTCAACCAGTTTCTGGACCACAATATCTACTGCTCTAGTCACTGGAATATTAGTAAATAAATCTTGTATATCTAAGCTGGCAAGATGTTCTTCTTTTTTAATGGGAAGATCAGAAATTTCTTCAACGAATTTCATAGTATTGCACACCACTCCGTCAATAGTGGATCTTAAATCCTTAATCATTTTGAATACAAAACGGGATACAGGTGAAGTGATAGTGTCTTTTGAGCACGTAACGATTCTCATCGGATTATTTACTTTATGTAACTTCGGTTGACCTCTAATTCTTGGAAGATCGTCGATGCCAGTTAATTCGAAGTGTTTCGCTTGATTGATTTTATTAAGTGCTAACAATTTATCTGCTTCTGTTTTAATTTTCTCTTTTATGTGTTCTGTTGGATCTTTAGTTATTTGTTCATAGATGTTCTCATCAAGTAATTTCTCTTCAATTTTCTTAATATATTCATCTTTATCTAATATCACAATCTTGCCTCCTTTATCTGCTTGAACGACAACAATGTTTTCATTAGACTTGATTTCGTTTAAAGTTTTTATTTCTTCTTTAGTCATAGTAGTTGATAGTGATACGGAAAAAGGTTTATCCTGTCTAGTCGTTACTATGGCCGTCTTGTTTTCTTATCACTATCATATCTATAAGAGAGACAAAGAATTAATTATCAAAATGGTCTAAATAGAGCAAAATAGTCGGAAAAGTTCAAAATGTCAACGGTTTTGGTTTGTTCTATGCAATTAAAAAGTCTGTTAGCGATTAGTGTTAAAAATATTTATGTCTGACGAAGTTGTAAAACTACAACGAAACGTAACAAATTTTAAATAAAATAATTAGGAAGAGAAACAAAATGAATACAGGACTATCAATATTTACAGATTCGAATGAAGGTAAATTGTTTAACAGAACATATACATTATCGAAACAATGTACTTTTATTGTTAACTTTCTAACAGAAAAACATCGTTGAATGATATGAGTATTGATGGGTACGTAAACATTAGCAAAAAATAATGTTTGTAATCGACAATCAGATTGAAATAGATGTGAATATAATTCTTTTGATACAGTGTTCTTAGATTGTCCGTTATCAAAATAAATTTTTAAATTAAGGAATTGTTCAAACAATTTTAAATAGGATAAATATTTACCATCCGTTTTAACTTTCGTTATAAAAAGTGATTCAAGATTCGGATATAACGGGTAATCCAAGATAAATTGCACTAAATTCTGATGCATTTTTCTCTCATTTTTTATTTATGAAAAATATGCCCTAATATACCAAAAGATAGAAAATTTCAAGTTCTACAAAACTGATGACTTCGTTTTTGAAACAAATTTTTCTTATCGCCACCAAATTAAAATGATTCACGTCTGATCAATCGTTCAACTGCGATTTCCTATTTTCTACTGGCATTTATTGATTTGTGTAAGCTTTTGCTCATTAAGATCGATGCTAAAAATAAATTATTTAACACCAATAGATAGAGAATTTTGTGCTCTATGCTTCCACGATCTTTTCAATGTTCCTGTTGCTGGTTTTCAGAAGAAAAAGACTTGGAACTGACACCTGTCAGTATTTTTGAGTTCACTTTGGAAAACCGTGTTTTCAAAAACCAGACTTGCTTTACGAGAGATTTATTATTATGCCATCGGATGTAGAATTTAATTCTGAACAAAACGGTGTAAGTGTTAAATTGAACAGTGAAAACATTTAGCTTGTTTCGAATTAATAAATAACAATGGCATAGATCTATCAGAAAAGGACTTTTTTCGGCACTTTACTTGAAAACTGTTTCTTCAAAAATATTTCTTCTAAAATTCTGAAACATGCATCCAAAGATGCAAAATTTTACGGAGAATTTCGTGAGATAGTTGACATTTCAACGGGACCTTCATTTTAAAAACATTTCCAGATTTTTCGTTTTTTTCACCGTTGCAGTTGGACAATTAAGTAGATGTTCATCTTTTAAATTCTACGCCAACAAGGAAGACTTGTTTGAAAAACAAAGTCAACAGTTTTGTAGAACTTGAAATTTTCTATCTTTTGGTATATTAGGGCATATTTTTCATAAATGAAAAATGAGAGAAAAATGCATCAGAATTTAGTGCAATTTATCTTGGATCACCCGTTAGTTTAGCATATAACCATAATGGAAAAACCGAGTTAATATTTTTATCATCAACTTTAATTACTTTGATATAATGATGAATTTTTGGTAAAATTGTTTGACAATACTTGTTCAACGTACATTCATCCACATTGGATAAATCTATTGTGCATAAAAATGGATAAAAATGATTCTTAAAACGATCATTTAAATTGAAAAATGAATAAATAATATCAATAGATTTTAAATAGAGAAAAATAAAGTCATACAGTTCATTGGTAGGCTTGATTCTAATGTTGACATTTCCTAGAAGAAGAATATCATTATACGCAAGATTAAAAGTAATCTCTCCAAAAAATTGGGAAAACGAAGAAGATCATCTTGATAAACAACTCATAACAAATGCAAACAAATCTCCTTCAAACCCATTCTTTCACACTTGTTACACGCCCTTATATTTGATAAAAGAAATTGATTTTTTAATCTTCTTTTCGAAAACAGCATATTCAGAAAAAAGTGATGAGTCAACCAATAGAATAGAATCCCTGAAGCTTTATCAAAATGTATTCTTTATACCGTTAGAATAATTGTCATTTAGATGAGAGCACTGGTTATGTTCGTTTACAAGAAAATTTAAAAAGAAAATTGAAAAAGGTACACTTGACTCTCAATACTTTTTTTGAGTATTCAATGCCTTAACTTTCGTCATACAAAAACGTATCCAGTTCTTTATTCATCTGTTTGTACCATCAATGAAGTCATGCTAAACAGCTGGCGTAAGGTCTATGACAATGAAACGTTCACCTTAGAGATTTTTTCGATTATATAGAGAATTAAAAAACTCCAGAAGATAACCTGTAGGAATGAATATTTTGTCTGATTCTGAAATTCGACTGTCTTTTCAACTTCGCCAGTCGATCAAGTATCTTGTCAAAGACCGGTTACGAGTGAAAAATTAACATACACTTTCTATTTCATATTTGGATTCTACTATCAAAACTAGCGTTATGAAAATTATGAAAAAACTTTCTGACTTATTCTGGTTGAGTTATAGAATTTATCTTAAATATTTACTTTTCATCTTCGTTCTTAAGGTTTCGAACAGTTTAATTCATCATCAGAAAAATGTACAAAGAGCTATAAAGAGAGATGTTATTTATACACGAAACTTGTACGAATAAACGAACATATGAAATAGTCCATCTGACGGTAGTTAACGTAAAAGGAACACACGACGGGACTAACAGACAAGGAAAAGAAATAACAGAATAAAAGTAAATTCTAAAAGGACTAGAGAATGAGAAATATGAGTTATTCCATTTTTATCTTAGTTCTTTGACTGACACATCCTTCTAGGTGTATCTCTAATTCACCTCGAGCCATTTTTAGAATTTACTTTTATTTTGGTTATTTCTTCCTTCTTCATTAGTATTCTAGAATTGCCTTTAACAAAGCAAAAACAACTTGTCGTTTACCGATTTTTCCTCGATTCAAGTCCATCTAAAATTTTTCCGAGCATAGACCAGTCCATGGTCTTCAAATTTTGAGTCCAGTTCAGTCCGAGCCTATGAAATCCAAAACATTTGAGTCCAGTCCAGTCCACGGTCCTGTCCGGTACCGGTTTCAGCTCTGACGATGGATAAAAACATCAGCATGATACTTATTCTTTTGAAAAATGCACTCTGAGAAAAGAGTTCGCGCCAAGACAATACATATTTCCTGATGGCCGTGCCTGTGATCACCAAAATCTTGGCTACTTCCAATTGAGATAGAATATTTCATTTTTACAAAATATTCAAATGCATTTTCATTGATCTATTCTGATCAGTTCTCTCGACATGATATGTTCTATTTATTGCGCATCATATAGTCAACGATTAATTATATCACAGCAATTCGCTCCTCGTATCGCAAAAAAGACCTTACGAGCATGCTTGCATTGTATGAATATAGAGCAGAATGGTTATAGACAGACAACATTTATTTTTCAATAAACATTGTGCGATAGAGCTCATCGAGACGCATCCAGACGTGTCTACTGATAACCGTCGTCTCAACAAAAACATTACAAAATTTTCCAAAGATCCTTTATCTCTGTGCTATTCAGGAATAAAAGTTCCGCAGATTCATTCTAGGACTTGGTCCAAAGCTGAACTGAACATTGTTCTATAGAGCTCATCGAGACGCATCCAGACGTGTCCTCAGATAACCTTTATCTCAACAAAAACATTACAAAGTTTTCCAAAGGTCCTTTATCTCTGTGCTTGGTTTTCTACCTTTCGATTTGTTTTTACTGCTATGTGCACCCCTCTTTCAATCGTAGCACGTTCTTTTATTTACTAAAGCAGAATTATTCATCTTTAACATAGGCTTATATCGAGATGTGTAGTACCATTATATTTATATATACATGTGGCATATTTTGTAAAATATTGCTTCACTTCTACCTTTCTATCAGTTATTACTACTATGCATGTTCCTCTTTCAACTGTGGTAGATTCTTTTATTTACTCAAGCAGAATTATTCATGAAAAGTTTGATGCAGGATTTGTATATATATATTAGAAAGAAAAGATTTGAAAGGCTATTATTCTGTTTTTCTTTTTTCTTGTCTTTCCTTCTGTCGAGTAACAAAACCGTCGAAAAAATACAGTCACGAGTGGGAATCAAATCCAACAACCAAAGACTGACTATCCGGACCAGCACTCAGACCACTGACTTACCGAGACACACTTTCGACATGTATTATTCGATGGTAGTATCAAAATTATGTTACTCGATGATTATTTTTTTATTCAACAGAAGGAAAAGTGAGTGGCCAGTTCAAGTTGTACAGCACTCACTGCTTTAACGTTTAAAACGTCACAGACGTTAAATTTGAACCTTCTTTAGCCTCGAGAGAGTATTAAACACGAAAAGTTTGATGCGAGATTTGTATATATATATATATATATTAGAAAGAAAAGATTTGAAAGGCTATTATTCTTTTTTTCTTTTTTCTTTTCTTTCCTGATGTCGAATAACAAAATAATTATTGAGTAACATATTCATGATACTACCGTCGAATAATACATGTCGAAAGTGTGCCTCGATAACTCAGTGGTCTGAGTGCTGGCCCGGATAGTCAGTCTTTGGTTGTTGGATTCGATTCCCACTCGAGACTGTATTTTTTCGACGGTTTTGTTATTCGACAGAAGGAAAGAAAAGAAAAAAGAATAATAGCCTTTCAAATCTTTTCTTTCTAAGAATTATTCATATTTGCCTGAAGTCTATATTTGAGTGTAGTACCATGTTATTGATATCCATGCGTCACTTTATGTGAAACAGTGCGTCTCTTATACTTTTTTTCTTTCTTCAATGATATCGAGATCATCCTTTCTTCTTTCTATTCGTAGAGAAAAGGTACATAGAGGAAGATTTCTTTTTGTAAAAGTTGTTCGATCATAGAATGCATTTCAACAGGCTCAACACTATAAAAGAAATATAATCTTTAGAGTAGAAATGAATTTCTGTTCTATCTTATTCATATGGTTATGTACATTAGCAACTGTTGAAAGCAGATTGTTACATAAACGACGTCATCACCAACATGAAGACACAGGTAATAGTTATGATGATCAACAAAATGTGTTTACTGTTGAACGACTATCACGATCGTTTGTGAACAATATCGTGTGGAGCTACGGTAAGGACAATTCGGCTGCTTATTTTATGGGTTACAAAATTGATGGTGCAAGGGCTTCCTCGTTTACTTCACTTGGGGGTGGTTACGGTAAGGATAGTTCAAGTGCTTATTTTAAGGGTAAAAAAATTGACGGTGCAAGTAGTTATTCGTTCACTGCACTTGGAGGTGGTTACGGCAAGG